GTGAAATTAGTCAGTCACAAAAGGAGAAATACTGCATAGGACCACTACTGTAAAAGACTAAGAATAAAATCCAATACTAAAAGGAGGGGGGGATCTTTGCTGATTACCGGGATGTGGGGGGTGGGGTTAGGGGAGGGTGGGAAGGTGGAGCACAAGGTAGAGAACAGCACAGGATAGTTTGGGTGCTAAGGAGGGAGGCAATACACAAGAAGGGGGAGGGGAATAGAAGAACAAGGCAGATGGGAAAACAATTAGGCAGGTTTGCATGGGATAAGTGTGACAGAGGTAAATAATGATGTATGTACAACCTTGGAACAACAAGGCTCTGGGATACAGGGATTGAAACATGGTTGGAATGGGCAAAATAGGGGAAATAATGTTAAGATGCTTGGCTGTCTTTTGAATCTTGGTTTCCCTGGCATACCATTATAAAATATACACTTGAGGGAGAGAGAAAGGAATAGCCAGAAATATCACCATAGAAAGCTTGTAAGTCCATCTTCTGCCTATAACTGATTAGAATACCTAAAATGGGGCTACAACATGCCCAGTGAAAGATGCTTCCTGTGCAGCCTCTGCATTACATAAGACCATAGGTGGAATCCTGAACCCCATTCAGAGTCTTCTGAGGTGGAAATTTTCCACTTGAAAGAACAAGCAGACCAGTCTGAAGTGGCTAGAAGAACAGAAGATACTTCTTGAAAGGAAGACCGACAGGAAAAATGCAAAACAATAAAGGCAGTCTGACTGATTAGTACAAGAATAAGAAAGCTGCTTGCCCAGGAGATATCAAGGCAAGTGGTCGGGTCATGGCAAACCCCCTTCCAAGACTAAGATTCAATGGGAATATACGAGCAGACATGCACCCTGATTGGTGACCACGTTAATCACCAATAAAGGGAAGGGAGGGAAAGAATGATGATGAGCTAAGCCCTACATCATTCAATAGAGTTCTGTGAACCAGAGTGGGGACCTGGTTGGCCAGCAGTGTGACAAGACCTGGGGACTCTTTGGCCCAGAGTCAGTGACATAGCCACAGAGGACTAGAGTAGAGAGTGAAGCATCCAGCTGATAAGAAGAGAGGGCATATGCATAAGAATACCCACACTTACAGATAATACCCACTTGACCTTGTTTAAATGACTGTATGATCAGAACTCAAGTAGAAGAAGAAAGAAGAGGAAAAAAAGAGTAATCTGATACTATTTGATGAACTTGATCTACACCTATGGATGCAGTAGCTTAAAAGAGGGAACAAATCTTTACAGCAAGGATCATTCCCTACCCTCTATACAAAGAGTAGACAGAGATGGGTAACTTGGACGTTGACTACCAAAAATGGAGAGAGGGCTACAAAGGCTAGAAGTGACTGGCTTACAAGCTTTCAAGAAGAAGCCTATATCCAGAGGACATGGAGGAAGGTAGAATCTCCACTGAGTAGTATTCAATCTGTCTGGGTGGGGCTGATGACAGCAGATAGGGATAGGTCTCTTGTGATACAATAGTGAATAATTGTTATCAGGACTGACTGTGAGTGTTGGAAATGTAAAGGCAGACATTTTGTAGCAAAAGGAGGGGAGTGATTGACTTTGCAGTTCAGAAGCAGAGGTCTCTTGGACCATCAAGGGAGAAAAGTGGAGTGCGGGACCCTACCCAGAGAAACAGTGACATCAGAGATGGAGGAAGAGATGGACATGGAGAGCTGGATTGGCTGAGGACTCTATACCTAGAGAGGGAGAGGGGTCGTGTGCTGAGGACTGAGGGGCAGTCTTCCAGGGTATACCCTTTGGTTGGTTGGAGGAGATTGTAACCATGGCATTGAAATGATATATGATAGGATGAATGTAAACCTAATGTTCTCCCAAGTAAACTATCACGTAATTCATAATAAAACCTTTAAAAAGAAATGAAGTTGAGGTGTCCTTGTACTGAGATCAGTAATCAATGTTCATGGAAGTAACAGAAATCAAACAACATATTGCATTGGGAAATCTACTTCAAAAGACTTCTTTAGAAGTGTTAAAAAGTTAAGATGTCATTTTGAGCACTAGGTGAGCCTGACCTAACCATGATGTTTTCAATCTCTTAGTATGCAAGTGAAAACTAAACAATGAATGAGGTAGACTAAAGAATAACTGATGAATACAAATTATGGTGTTGGTGAAGAATGTTGAATATACCATGGGCTACCAGAGAACTGGTGTGGCAATGTAGAATAAGCACTGGATTTCTAACCACAAGTTCAACAGTTGAAACCCATTAGCTGCTCCTTGGAATTCCTATACTGAAACACTATACATCAAAACAGAATCGATGACACTTACCATCAACAACAACTGTAGAACTAACAAATACATCTGGTACGAATACAACCAGAATACTTCTTAGAAGTGATGACCACAAGTTTTGGTCTTGCTTACTTTAGACATGTCATCAGAAAAGATCAATCACTAGAAAAGTATATCATGCTTGTTAAAGTAGAAGGTAAGTGAGGGAAACCTTCCATGAGGTGGATGACACAGTAGCTGTAACAAAGAACTCAAATATACCAATATTTTGATAATGCGTAGGACTACGAAATACATAAGGTCACTGTAAGTGAGAGCCAACTTGATAATAACTAACAGCACCAAGCACATTTTCTAATTTAGGATTTTCAGTTAATTTAGGATTTTCATTTTTAAGCTGAACTCCCCTAACAGCAACAATAATAAATTATTAAATTAAAAAGTGATAATAAATGGACAGGATAAAAAGGAATTGTTTATATTTGTATCTTTTAATAATTTATCAAAATATTGAATTTTATTTCATTCTTCAAAAAAGTTAAAATGTAATGAATTTATTTACAACTGTTGTTGGTATTAGGTATCAGACAGTCGGCTGTGACTCATAGAAACCATGTACAACAGAACAAAACTCTCCCCAGTCCTGTACCATCCTAACAATTGTTGTTATGTTTGAGCCCACTGATGTAGTCAATTGGTCAATCCATCTTGTTGGATGTCTTACTCTTTTTCAGTAACCCTCCTCTTTTCCAAGTATGATGTCCTTCTCCAGGGGCTGATACCTCTTGATAATATGTTCAAAGTACAAGAGATAAAGTCTCACCATGCTGGCTTCTAAGGAGCATTCTATCTGCACTTCTTCCAACACAGATTTTTCTGTTCTTCTGGAAGTTCATGGTGTTTTCAGTATTCTTTGCCAGCACCATAATTTAAATGCATTGATTCCTCTTATTTTCTTCCTTATTTATTGTTCATCTTTCACCTGTACATAAGGTAGTTGAAAATATCATGGCTTGGGGGTCAGGAGTACCTCAAACTAATATCTTTGCTCTTTAACAATTTAAAGAAATCTTTTGCTGCAGATTTGCCCAATGCAATATATCATGTGATTTCTTGACTGCTTACTTGGACTGCTTCCTTCAGCTCTTGATCATATGCAACTTTGAGAAATGGTTAAACATCAACCACTTATTTTTGGTACCGTGACTCTGTGTGGTTCTTTCATCTTCTTTTGATGTTTCATGAGTCATTTGCACATATTGTTGAGTGCTGTTGAGTCAGTTCAAACTCACTGTGACCCTGTCTAGGGTTTCCAAGTAGGAGCTGGTAGGTTTGAACCTTTGACTTTGCGGTTAACCCATAGAATCTTCAATATTTCAAGTTGAGATTAGAATTCTTACTTCAGTTCTTTCAGCTTGAGAAATGCTCAGTGCGAGCTCCTCTTTTGGCTTTCTAATGCCAGTTTTCTGCATATTTCATTAAAATAACTTACTTTGTCTTCTTGAAATGTCTTTAATGATAATATGTGTTATTTATTGCCCCAAACTGTAAGATAACTTGTCTTATTTTAGATAAGCAACACTACTTAGTATGGTAGGATTTTTACTTATTCTATTGGCTCTGTAGGATAAGCATTTGACCATAATATTGGTTTAAACCAAAATGTTGGCAGTTCAAACTCACAGGTTACTCCTCAGAAACCCTATACAGGGTCACTATGAGTAGGAACCAACTTGACAGCATTTAACAACAACAATTTAAACGATTGACTCTATTTCCAAATTTCCAGCTTCTTTTTTTGTTTGTTTCAGGTTACCCACACCAAGAATATCACTGAATTTAATAATTATTTAGAACTTTATGCAATTTTTGTTTTGATGTAGCACATTTCTTTCATAAACTTAAATGAATTTGTCATCCTCATTCGGCCTTCGCAACTATGACATGCAGATACAGAGCTGAGAATTCAATGCAACATGAAACCTGCTTCGTGCCCTACGATGCTTATAAAATAATCAAGGACGCATATAGAAAATAAAAAATTCTGTAGTAAATTACTTTTTAAGTACATTAAAATTAATGCTAGGTTCCTTTTCACTTTTCATATTATTTCACAATGAAATTTAACAAGATTTCTTTTGATAGTTTCCATAAAAATGTGACAAAGTTTTGGTTATGAATTTTAATGCATAATTTTTAATCTTGCTATGTTGTATTCAACACAGCATTGTTTGGAACAAAATCTTTATTTTTTCCAGGATATGTCTTTCCATGATCACTCCCCCCAGAGACTTAAATACCACTCCACCACTAAAACATTTCACAACTTAAACTGTTTAAATTTCAAAGCTATCCAGAAAATCAATCTAAACCTTTATTACATGCTCAACGGAAACAATTTTAAACCACATAAGTTATCCTATTTATATTATATACGAATAGGAAACATGTGCATTACCAATAGCACATTTAAACACACTTCTTATCTTGCTTCTGATACAAATTAAAATAAAATAATTTTTCTTCAGAGTTTTAAAACAGATCATTAAAATAGTCCATGATTGAGCAGAGTAAGTATTATAATAAATACATCTGTTTGGGGAGTTATTATACGAAATCATGTTTTCTGATAATATAATAAGGAAATAACAGTATGTAATTTACTAATGCTTTGCATTTGACATAGCTTTTTTTTCCTGCTTTCATCTCTAGCTGTAAGCACAAGATGTATCTGGAAAGGCTGCCAAACACCAGTATCATTATCCCATTTCATAATGAAGGTTGGACCTCACTCCTACGGACCATACACAGTATAATTAACCGAACCCCAGAGAGTCTGATAGCAGAAATCATTCTAGTAGATGACTTCAGTGACAGAGGTAAGATCCAATTAGTAACATTTTATCGGATTCTTTTATTGTCTACATAGCCATTTGGGACTTTAAAAAAAAAGGCAGGCTGGGGTTAAAGGGAGCAGAAGACTAATGTGATGGTGTCTTTCTGATTTCATCTGAAAGATGATTATGAAGTTTTGTTTATGCTGTGGTTTTATTAAATGTTGGTTAAATTCAAAAGAAACTGAAAGAGAAATTATCGGTGTCATGTGAGAAACTGTAAAAAATTTCTACTACCTATCTGCTATAAATTGAAAATGTTAGGCAAAATGCCTCAACTTCTATTTTTGCTTAAGGAAAAAAAACTGCAATTATATGATTGGATATACATATGAACAGTGAAATAGTCAAATATTACAATGAAATCTTTGTTCCTGATAAAGATCTACTTTATTATTAAATACTTCATAAATATGTAAATGTTAAAGAGCACAAATATATAGTTTTTTACTTGGTGATTCTTTCTATTTTATTATATCTGGACAATTAAAAATTCTGGTATGGCAATATATTACAAAATTTGACATATGTTTTTTTTTATTTTTTCACTACTCTGATAAAAATATAAGCATTGAAATAAGCATGTTGTTTTTGTGAGGTGCCATAGAGTCAGTTTGGACTCATACCAACCTCTATGCTCAACAGAACGAAATACTGACCAGTCCCGCACAATACTCAGAATTACTGTCATGTTAAAGTCTGCTGTTTTTGACACTGGGGAATAACTGGGAATTATTGGTATATTAAAGAAGGTCTTCATATTTTAACTGATATGATATAGTTTAGCAGAGAAAAGGGAACTTTTAGAATCTATTTGGGAATATAATTTTCTACCTTATATTTTATTGCATGAGGGAGCAATGTGTAACTCAATAGTATATCTGCAAGAGAGAATGCCAGTAAAATAAGCTGATGGAATAGTATTCTTATTTATCAAAAGACATCTTGAGTTCATTAGGATTAATTAAATTGTGGAAATTCCATTTGCAGCAAAAGCTTTATTTTCTTCTTGTTTTCCATAAATTCTTTAAAAATAAGCATACCTGTATGTTAACTTTGAAGTTTGTTTGACAAGGGTTTAGTCTTCAATGATTCATTGCAAATACTCATTTAGGGATTGGTTTATATTAATTTGCAGTGGAGTTTATGAAACAAAAATGATGTTGTCCAACACTATTCATTAAAGTAATCATTCAACTAAGTTGGTAATCTGATTTCTATTTCAAATGGTTTTTGCTTTTTTAAATTATTGTTCTTAAGTGCCGTCAAATAGGGTCTGACTCATAGTGACCCTGTGTAAGATTTCAAAGGAGCACCTGGTGAATTTGAACTGTTGACCTTATAGTGCATTTTCCCATAGTGCCTATGTTAAATATTACCTAAGAAGAAGCACCAGAATGTAAAACTGAAATTTTCATCAATTAAAAAGATCAATAGCACATTAATTATTTTTATACTTACTAAGGATACAGGGTTGCTATGGGCCGGAACCGACTTGATGGCACTTAACAACAACAACAAAGGATACTTTTTAAACAGTAACCATAATTACTTCAGGAAAAATGGGTCTTTAATGTGTTAATCAAACTAAAATTTTTCTGTCAAAAATGAGAAAAAAGTTGGGGTTGCATATGGCCAAGTAAAAAATCTTTTTGGTTGACTGGTAGTAAAAGAAATAAAGTAGTACATCTTTGGATAATTTTCAACATAATTAACTTTTCTTTGATAAGATATTTATCATAGAATTTTGACCTGGGGGTAAATTAGTAGGACACATTTGATAGCAAACAAATGTGGCCTGTAGAGAGTTTTTTGCTGAATATATTTGAGATGTGTTTGTGAACTGATAATCTTTAGAAAGGTAGAAAAATAGTGACATCCACTTTCATCTAGGGTTCAAATCACGGTAATATTTTTTATAGTAGTGACTTTGATGGACTATCCTTCTGCATATAATGCATATAATATTAGCTAGAAAGTAAACATGTCCCAGAAGATTGTCAGTGGGTTATTGTTAGGGAAGTAGGGGGAAAATTATGTAAAATAATAATTGTGATTTTGACTTTTCTATTGAAGTCCTGGTGATAAAGTGGTTAAAGTGCTCAGTTGCTAACTGAAAGAGCTATAGTTGGAACCCACCAGGCACTGTTTAGGAGAAAGATGTATACAATCTCCTTCTGTAAGATTATATAGCCTTGTAAATCCTTTGGGACAGTTGTACCATGTCATCCTATAGAGTAACTATATGTAAGAATAGACTCGATTTCAATAAATGTTATTGGACATTTTTAACATAGAATATTATTTTAATGTTAGTAACAATTTCATTGATAATGAAGGATAGCATTGCTGATATCCAATGGATCTAGGCTGAAAGCAGAGAATACCAGAAAGATGTTTATCTGTACTTTATTGAATATGTGAAATCTTTCAATTGTGTGGATCATGACAAGGTATGAACAACATAGCAAAGTATGAGTATTCTGGAACATTTAATTTTCTTCATGAGGAATCCATACATAGATCAAGAGGCAGTTGTTCGAACAGAACATGGGGACACTGAATGGTTTAAAATTAAGAAAGGTGTGCGAAATTATTGTATTCTTTCACCATACTTATTCAGCCTGTATGTTGAGCAAATAATCCAGGAAACTGGGTTATATAAAGAAAAATGTGACATCAGGATTGGAGGAAGACTCATTAACAGCTTGTGATATTCAGATGATACAACCTTGATTGCTGAAAGTGAAGAGGACTTAAAATACTTACTGATAAAATCAAAGACCACAACCTTCAGCATAGATTGCACCTCAGTGTAAAGACAACAAAAATCCTCACCACTGGACCAACAAATAACTTTTTTTTTTTTTTCTAACAAACAACATTCCTCTCAATGGAGAGAAGCTTAAAATTGTCAAGGACTTCATTCTTCTTGGATCAACTATCAACACTCATGGAAGCAGCAGACAAGAAATCAAATGATATATTGCATTAGTCAAATCTGCTGCACAAGATCTTTTGAAAGTGTCGAAGAGCAAAGATGTCAGCTTGAGTAATAAGGTGTGCCTGACCCAAGCTATGGTATTTTCAATAACCTCATATGCATGTGAAAGCTGGACTGTAAATAAGGAAGGCTGTAGAAGAATTAATGCTTTTGAGTTATGGTTTTGGAGGAGAACACTGAAAGTGCCATGGGCTGCAAAAAGAACAAACTTATCTGTGTTGGAAGAAGTGCAGCCAGAGTTCTCCTTGGAGACAAGAATGGCCAAACTTTGTCTCTCGTACTTCAGACATATGTCAGGAGGGACCAGTTGCTGGAGAAGGTTATCATGTTTGGTAAGATAGAGGGTCAGAGCAAAAGAGGAAGACCCCCAACAAGATGGATTGGCAAAGAGGCAGCATCAATGGGCTCAAGCGTGGCAATAATTGTGAGGTTGGCCCAGGACCGGGCAGTGTTTTGTTTTGTTGCACATAGGCTCACTATGAGTCAGTACCAACTCAATGGCACCTAACAACAACAACAATTTCATTTAGATATTCTATTCCTATGAATGATCAAGTTGAAGGTATTATTTCATAGTCATTAAAACAATAGATAAAGCATATATGAATATGACTTTTCACTATTTCTAACCTGACAATATATGCTGTGGTATGGGGAATACTTAATGTCTCTTTTAGCCATAGTCTTTGTAAACTCCCACCAAACGATTTGTTTCCTGATTGATCTTGGTAAAAAAAAACAGTGGGGAAGATAATAATGATTCAGCTGTGAGTGATCGTTAACAGGGATAATTGTAATTGGTCAATTTTGCCATACTGCTGGGTATAAAATGAGCCATCTCATAAGTAGAGGGAGGAATCACACTGCCATCAAGAAAAAGTGTCAGGAGTAGAGTATGTCCTTTGGACCCAGAGATCACTGCATATTGAACCTCCTTAACTCTTGTATAGAAAGTTGTGACACCTAAGAAATGGCAGAAGAGCAGCCACAACAGATCCAAGAGCCAGAGAATGACAAAGAGCAGTGGACTGAATTCCCAGCCCACAAAGCAAATAAAATGGAGTGATTTTTGGTGAAAGTCTTACTTTAAAAGTGGAGTACCTCCAGACAATTAATTTTTAGAGCTAGGTTTGGTGACCCATAATGCTAAGTGGAGTATCTTAAGTTTGAGGTTTATAGTGGAATGGCATGCCCAGTGGGTATTTATCAACAGTCCTAAAAGGGCCATTCAACTGCTTTACAACAGTGTTGGGGCAAGGTAGAGGCCAGATCAAAGGACAAGAGCCAGAAAAAGGGCCAGCGTGTGAGCATGACAGAGGAGAAGCTGTACTGGTGGAAGAAGTGTGCCTTGAATATTTTCTAAACCCGAATTGTGACCTGTTAACTTCCCTAATAAACCCCATAACGTTGAGTGTTGTGTCTGAAGTCTGTGTTGCCATTGCAAGGAATTATCAAACTCTGCTGAGTAGAGAGTGCTGTAGGCAACATGCTTGGTGTCATTTTTTACATGTGCAAAACTAAACTTTGGAAGAAATAAATGATAAAATTATTTCTATAATTTCTTATAATACAAAGTAATTATTAAGTTTTCTAGAATAGAAAAGACTGTTCCTAACTCTCTGGATTGCAACATTCAATCTGATATATATTAGTTGTTGTTGTTGTTGTTGTCAGGTGCCATCGAGTCAGAACCGACTCATAGTGACCCCATGCACAGCAGAACGAAACAATGTCCGATCCTGGGCCAACC